GGTTCAGGGATGGTTTATCCCGGGTTCAGGGATGGTTTATCCCGGGTTTAACCCGGGTTTAGCCCGGTTTCAATGAGGATATCGTGCATGTAGGGGCAGCTCTCGGGGGCAGTTTTAGGAATGGTTTATCCCAGGTTCAGGGGCAGTTTTAGGGATGGTTTATCCCATGTTAATCCCATGTTTATCCCGGTTTAACCCGGGTTTAGCCCGGTTTACATGAGGATATCGTGCATGTAGGGGCAGCTCTCGGCCCTGGCGCAGTAGCCCGTGATGTAGAACTTGCAGAGCTCGCGCTTCTTGGGCAGCTCGATGTCGTGGCTGAAGTTGCAGTGGTCACCCTGCAGGTGAGGGACAGGTGAGGGACAGGTGAGGGACAGGTGGGACACACACGTGACACAGGTGGGACACACACGTGACACAGGTGGGACACACATGGGACACAGGTGTGGCCCAGGTGTGACACAGGTGTGACACAGATCGCAATGTGTGACACAGGTGAGACAAAGATGGGACACAGACGTGACAGAGATGGGAATTGTGACAGGTGTGACACGGTTGAGATGAACGTTGGACACAGGTGTGACACAGGTGTGACACAGGTGAGGGACAGGTGAGGGACAGGTGGGACACACACGTGACACAGGTGTGGCCCAGGTGTGACACAGGTGTGACACAGATTGCAATGTGTGACACAGGTGAGAAAAAGGCTGGACACAGGTGTGACACAGGTGAGATGAAGGTGACACGGGTGTGACACAGGTGTGACACAGATGGGAATGTGTGACACAGTTGAGATAAAGGTAGGACACAGGTGTGACACAGGTGTGACACAGATCACAATGTGTGACACAGTTGAGATAAAGGTAGGACACAGGTGTGACACAGGTGAGATGAAGGTGACACGGGTGTGACAGCTCAGACAGGTGACACGGGTGAGATAAAGGTGACCCAAATGTGAGCCAGGTGTGACCCAGATGGAAACGTGCCACAAGTGTACAGGTGTGACACAGGTGAGACACAGATAGAAACGTGCCACAAGTGTACAGGTGTGACACAGGTGAGACGCAAGTGTAACACAAGGGTGACACAGGTGAGATAGGTGACACAGATGTGACCCAGGTGTGACACAGATGGGAATGTGTGACAGGTGTGACACAGGTGTGACCCAGGTGTGACACAAATGGAAATGTGTGACACAGGTGAAATGAAGATATGACCCAGGTGTGACACAGGTGAGATAAAGATCACAGGTGTGACACAGATGGAAATGTGTAACACAGATGTGACAGGTGGCACAGGTGTGACCCAGGTGCCCACTACCCTTACCCAGGTGTAATTGGGTACCTCCCCCAGGAGTCCTTACCCAGGTGTGATCCAGGTGTCCTTACCCAGGACCCTCCCGGGTGACCTTTCCCA